ATAGTCGTCCGTATTGCTATATTTTGCACCTGCTCACTGTCCAATTAGTAACATACTGAATTTTTAAAAGAGTAAAAAGCTTTGCCGGTAATACAAAAAGTGTGAAGTAAACGCAAATATGAACAACAACTGCCAGAACGCAAAATGCCCTTTGAGGATCAGAATTGCGCAAAAAGTGAGTAGAGAACAAGTGAGCAAATAAGAACAGTTTCGAAGGAACATGTTTAGTTTCAAACTTAAGTGAGGGCAACACAACACTACTCTACATATGTGTGAACTAATACTTGTTCAAGTACCTAGTCTTCAGTCTAGTCTTTATTAATCCCATCTTTCGAGATCTATTATTATTATTATTACGAGGCCTTACAGTACTTCTTTTTACCGCCCTGTAGAAATACGTGCAAGAACCTATTATTACTGTATTAATATTATTTCCTAAATTCTATTCTATTCCTTCTATAGAGTGCAGGGCCATCACATGGGATGTATTTGAAACCTATGAGACACAGATATTTTTTATCCCTATTTAGATCTAGATTCTTCATTATATCACAGGTGTCAATTCCTATTCCTATATTAATATATATTTAAAATCGTTTTTATCTAGTAAATAAATTTCAAAACGTAGTTTAATTTATTAAGAAGATAAAGATTAAGATAAGGAAAGGCAGTTTTTATCCCTCGATTCCCACTTGTCCTCTGCAATCCACTCTGATCTAAAAGCTTTTCATTTGTTTTCAAATTGGAGGGAATCGAAATACAATTTCCCCAGACTGAAGAAAGCTAGTTCCCCTTTCTCCAACTATCTATCTATCTTTTATATTCGTTTCTGTTCTATAAGGTTCCGCATCAACTTTCACGAGAACTCCAATTCTTTTCTGGCCCCAAAAGTGTCTCCTTTATTGGTCTGCAGCATGAAATGAATGCAGTTTTCAGCTATTGTGCGACTACTATGTATATCCACTGGCAACAACAATAATCAGCTAAATCATTATCATGATTAACTGCTGCTGCTGCTGCTGCTGGTGGCTGCATCTTTTAGAAAGTTAGCGGCACACGGCGTCGTCGTCGTCGTCTTTGCGGAATTTCCAGTGCATGAAAAAGATACAGATGCGTCTTCAGGTGTTCCAGCAACAGAGGAGTGTGGAGTGGAGTGGATGCTACTCTTCTGTAGATGCTACACATACTCGTACTCCGATATGTGCTTCTCATTTCTCATTTGAGGCTACCGTTTGAATAATGCGCGAAATGCAATTTGGAGCTGCTGCATTTTCCTCTTATTTTTTACTATTTGCAGCGGCGCATGTGCCGTAAAATTGAGCATACACACACACATACACACAAAAGATGGAATACATTCGTATACGTGTAGGTACATATACTCTTAGAAGTCAGTGTATGATTTGGGGAATGACCCGTGGAATAGTCGTGTACTGCGTGTGTACCAGTTATCTCGTCAACAAGTCTTGTTTCAAGCTCCAATTGGCAAATTAATCAAAATTTAATTGCCCGACGAACGAAAGAGGTTGGAAAACCAACCACAACTCGAATGCAAATCCGCCAATCGCTTGTGTAATATTGCGCCAGAGAGGAAATGCATCGGAATGGAAGTGGAAACGGAATGTTGGACTGTCCAAGTCGCGGGCCAATCGACTCGATTGTTCGCCTAGGCCTTCAAACCCAATTGATATCGCCCCCTAAGTATACCTTATCGTCGATAAGGTGTGGGCTCTCCCAAGAATATGATTTATCATTTAGTTACACTCCCAGATATCAGCCACTAGCCAGAGCTCTTTCGATGAATCAACAGTCCAACAATTGGCCAAAGTAAGGGAGGAATCCGCATATAGTTTGTATTTATATATGGATCCGCCTTTGCATACGAGTTTGTGTGTACGTGATAGATGGGTATGGGATGGGTATGCTGTGCGCTGGCACCCAAGTACCGCCACAAAGAATGCTAAAATATGCGTCACTTGTCTAGCCGCTAGACACTTCCCAACTCCCGGCCCCCTAGCCCTCCCTCGTCGTGTCATTAACCGCAGGCCACAGGCAGAGGCACAGCCAAAAGCCATTACGAAAAAGGAATCCACCGCCGCACAGTGGAGTGCACTGCCCAGTGCCCCAAGGGGATACAAAATTGTCATTTAGTGGGCTCCCCAGAGCTCAGAAATATATGTAGATATGCTAAAGGAATTACTCTATAAGCCATACACAATAAGAGAATGGGGAATATGGGAGTAATTGAAATGTTATCAATAAAAGTGGGCTGATTAGGTGGCTCTTAAGTCTTGAATCGAATTACGGGGCTATTTATAACCATTCCTACGACAATACTTTCTTGGCAGATAGTTTTTTCTATGGGGTTGCTCGAATAAACAATGTTCTTCCGTAATGTGGGAGGCGGCACAAGCGTATGCTGTAAAGCGCCAAAACAACATACATTGCGTGTGCATGATACGGCATATTGATGGAGGAACTGCTTACATCTCAATACAGATGACGGTTAACTTATTGGTATGGAATGTTTTAAAAAAGAGTAAAATGTAATCTTCAATTTAGTCACCAAAGTCGCCTTTATTATCCCACTGTACATCATTTGGTTTGGCACACATTTTGCATACCGAATATCTCTCAAATGGCAAAGAATTATCAAAAGAAAGCAACCACGAAGAGATGTACGGGAGGACGGAATGGATTTGCCTGCCATGGATTGGCGATGGCTATGGAACCGACGGCAATTAAACAGGCAAACAGGGAACATAAATAATAAAACTATCTGTCCGTCCGTCTGTCCATCCATCTGTTTGTTTTTGCCGCGTGTGTGTGTGTGTGTGCGTTAGTTTAATGAACGACGCCACTCCGCTTTTGTTTTTATTGTTGGTTGTTAGTGGACGCTGATGATGTCTTTGCGGCACTAGCGCTGCTTCTGTTGGAGCTGTTGCTGCTGCTACTGCTGCCACTGACGATGATGATTATGTAAATTGTGGAAAAGTAAAAGGGAAACTAAATACCATTGCCTATCATATGGAACTGTATGGTACTCTCGTATTGTGTTTTATTGTTTCTCTGGTATGTGGTGCTGTTGTAGCATGTTGAAGAGAGAAATGGAAACAACAGGCAAAGGAATGATGGATTTAGAGGTCGAAGATGTTGATGCCCTAGCAGATGGATATACTAATACGATATACTCGAACATATTGTACAATACATGCAAGTATCACTTATTTAGTAAGATTGGAAAATAGTAACATTAAAAAATGTTCCATTTTCCACAAAAACTAGATAGTTTTTATGTCAGATATACGTTTTAGATCATATTTTGATCAGATAATGAGATAATATTTTACTACACTGCAAAACTCTGCTCTGCGAAATCCGAATGCCATACCCTATAACAATCGACCGTGGTTCCATACTAAACATCTTAATAGTTACTGGCTCGGCTGCTCTTGCAACACAGAGGTAGAGACACATAAATAAGTACGGTGCGAAATGTAGGAAAATGATTGATTATAGTATGTTTTGAGAGATAGAGAGAGGAAATGGAGAAGGGTGGGGAAATGACCAAAATACTTATCAATTAGGCGTGCCCCACAATCACTTTGCTGCTGTTGCAGCAATAAAAAAGGCAGAAAAGTAAGAGATAATGCTGATAAAGGAGTATAAAATCGCCATCCATCCCCCTCACACACTCACACACGCAAAAACCGTTTCATGCATTGTCCCAATTGGACTTTATTGATTTTTCCTGTAAAAGGAATCTGCGCGGAGAGCGAGAAATAACCTAAAAACGCTCGTCACCAAAATTATCAGTTATAAAGCATTCGACGCCATATAACTTTCGCCCTATTTGGTTAGGTTCAATAGAAGGCGGTGCAAAATTGTATATAGTAAACATTCTACGTTTATTTTCATAGTTTATTGTCACGAACACTCACACGAACACACACACGCACGCAAAGACGGACGACCAGAGAAGACGATTCCAATTTGAGACTCCCACACAGGGCTCCGTTCTGGGGACGTACCTTGACAGTTCTATGGAAGCGGTGCTGCTGTAGCCAGCTGACACATTTCACGCTTTATCACTGTTGTTTACTCTCAGATATTGCACTTATTTTTAATCATTACACCTTTCGCGATAAAAACAAATAAAACGAACCGCTCAAAGTTGGCCGACAGTGTGACCGTGGATTTATCGTTAAAATATACCGTCGGACCCTCTGAAATATGCAAAAATATACCGTCTCATGTTAAAAATATACCGTAAATATACTGACGAATTCAAGATCTATTTTACAAATTCCTCGTTTTTGATATTCCGTGGAATATTACTAGCTATATAAAACATTTAGCCATGCCCACTTAATTTTATCCGATTAGTGAATCTATTTTATAATTGACTGGTGTAGTCTAAACACTTGCTTTTATTGCATTTTGCGTAAAAAGAGGTTTTAGCGAAATAGGTCAAAACAAAAAATGAAAAAGCCATAGTTTTGCCCATATAATTTTAGGCCGTTGATGAGAAAATTTTCTTCAAGATTGGCTAGTTTTTAGTCCATGCATTTATTGTATTTTGGCTAAAACAAGGTTTAAACAAAATAGTTGAACAAAACAAACAGTCGCAATGTTGCTGGTATTTGAAGACATGATGCGTGTATAGGCCCATGTATACCCTATTTCGTTAATATCCTGATCCCGATACCAATTCTTGGCCTCTGAAGTTTAATATTACGTTGAATATTTCTAGCTAGCTGAGACACTCAGCTCTGAACTCATAATTTCATTCGATTATTTCAATTTCCTAAATTTAAGTTGTCACAGGGATCTAAAATCAAGCGGAAATTGTATATTTTTTCCTACAAAATTGTTTGTTCCAGTTAACGAAATTTCGTCTTCATTCAATTACGGGATGCAGTGTCTTCGTGTCGAACGGATCAGATCCTCAGCGAGCTCTTGGTGTTCTTTCTAGAGGTGCGATTTCAATTGAAAACAGTTTAATTCGAATCATAGGAGTTTTCTTTTCCCGAATAGCGAATGAAGTGCCTTCCTGTAAGATGGTTTCTGAGTGTATTGCGGATGTGGAAAAAGTCGGCCTGAAGGCATACAGATATTTCCAGGCACCGACCCCTGAGCCACCGGTCGTCGTCGTCTGGACTTCCCACTGCGCCCACTGGGTGGGGGTCCTGGCTGGGCCCATCATATTCGCTCTTCTTTTCAAGCTTATCTACATTATCAAAATACGAAGCGCAAAACATGTTGGAGTGGATCCCGTGGTGCCCGCAGAGCAGGACATAGAGCGTCCTGCTGCTGAAGAGACAGCCCGACAGGAAGGTGGCGACGCATGGTATTGGGATCCGCTTCGTGGCTTTAATCTGTATTGATTTCGTTGCTATTGTTGATATTGCGGCGAGAGGAATCGGACACGGCGGCACTGAGCTCAGCTCATCCCAACTGACGCCCGAGTCGTCGGAGTCCTCGGATGCTTCGGATGGTGGAGTGACATCTACCTCGGCAGCTGCCGGTTGTTGCTGCTGCGCCTGATTGCTTTTGTTGTTGTCGGATCGGAAACGATTCTCCTCCAAACCGATGGCGTGGCTGTTCCCGTCAGCTCTGCGCTTGTGTAAAGTCTGACGCTTGGCCGAAGGGCTCCAGTCGAGGGGATGATGTACTACTGATTTTGATTGTGTCTAAAATAAGGTTTAAGCCAATACAATTTCCACTTAATTCATTTCTTTATATGTTAATACACGCCAACTACACATTTATCCTTGTAGAAGGCATTTTGGTAGTGGTAACCTGGCACTCGTCCAGAGTCTTTTCGCTCCATCTTCATCCGCAGCTTGGTCGCGTTGCCCCTGAAATGAATTATCCGGCATGTTCTCTATTGCATTTTCAAAGTCTTTAAAAGGAAGTGCTTGACGGCGTGCTTCCCTGCGAGAAGAATATCAGTGTGCAGTGATTTTAAATTATTTTTGGCTATGCTTACTGCTTTATTTATTTTCTTCGATGGAGCCATTAGAGCTCGATACATTGGCTCGGTGTGGCTCTTGCCGGGCCTTGCGCCGAACGAATCGTCTGCACCATTGGCGCAGGCCTGCCAGCCATTTCAGAGCAGGGCTGCCGATATAGGTAGGATATTGTTAGTTTAAGAATTTAGGCAGATATCGTGTCTTTCCACTCACCTTGTTGATGGGACACTGAAAGTCTTCGGGCCGCTTGCAGCAGTCGGCCTCATCGTGGACATTGTCACAGTTGTCAAAGGTGGTACCATGGCAGATCAGAGCCCTGTCCAGCCAGAGAGGGAGAGGGAGAGAGAAAACAGGAGATTACACGTGTCCAGATGTATACAATATGGTTGCTTACTTGTTCATTCCATTGATGTTTATAACTTCGATACGGATGGTATATCGGACTGTTGGTACAGGGCCAGCGCCGTGAATCCTTCCAGCTCCACATGCTCATTGCCATCGACTCGGGCGACTCGGAATGATGGCCTGATGGCGCCAGCTCGCTGTACTCGGTCGAGATGCGGCCCAATGTGCTCCTGGCGCGAGAACAGCAGGAAGGCGGCAGGCACCACCCAGGGGGCTCGCGGGGCTGGTACAGGCAGAGGTGGAGCAGGCCCCATTCCCATTTACGCGATCTTGTCTTGTCGGTCTTTCCATCGCACCAGACGCCAGAATCCTGAAGACGCTGTCCAGATGCCATTCTCAGACGAACAGCTGTTCTACCCCTACCCCCAGTCCAGGGTCTGTTCTTCTTCCTCCTTTTTCAATTGTTTTCCTATGAAATTCGTCTTCTGGGGGCTGAGGCAGGGAGTAGTTGGCCACAACTGCGCCAAAGGGCGCCGCTGGTCGTTTCGGCATCGCTGCAGACTCTGTGGCTCGACTTTAACTGTAAATGCGAAGAAGGTGGAAAGCACGGAATAGCCGTGGAACAGCGGCTGTTTTTGGGGAGTGCCCTGTGACATCAGGACTTACTGTCATTTGAAGCCACTGTAGGCAGACGCACAAGGCACTTTAGCTCATACAACAGTAGCATAAACAAACGAGTATATTGAGGGAAAAAGGACATTGTGGCGAGGAAAAATCCCAGAGAAAATCCCAAAAAAGTCCCACCAAACTTGAGCGCCAAATCCAATTGAGATGGTAGTGCTTCGATAAATCGCGAAAGCTGATCGCTAGTGGTGGTTATAAGATTGAAATCGATGCTTTTATCGATGCTGTTATTGATTATTTTGAAAAATATCGAAAAATACATAAGACGCACCTGACGACGAAACCCGGAACTACTCATGTAGAAAATGAAGTATTGTTACATACACTATACATCGAAATTTACATTGAAAATATCGATGGCTCTTAATCGTTTTTAAAGTTCCCGCCAAACATCTTTCTTAAAAACGTTAAGTCTTGAAACTTAAGTGGCTGCCGGAGATTATTGTTTAAGAATTTTTCGAACGACTATGGCGCTCGTACCTATCTAGGAGCAGTATTTGCAGCTTCCTTTACACATTGTGCACGACATCGTTTTCGGTGCATCATTTCAAAGACTGCAATTATTTTCGTACTGCATTTTTCTTCGTTTTGCCGTTGACCTCGAGCAGTTAATCATCCTGATCGATAATTGGATAGTGGATGTCTCTATTCGTTCCTTCTGAGTTTCCCCACCCTCTACCAATGAGTAAAAATTTATAGCGTGCATTATATTCGGACAGTTTAATTGGGTATCGACGTTTATTAATTTGTTCAGCCTGTTTTATTATAATGCCCGTAATTTGCCGGCCAATCTGAATCCTTTTGCCCACTCAGGGCTTTCAACACTTTCCGTATACTCTCTGGTTTTCTTGGGGTTTCGTTTTCAAGGGATCTGCATGCTAAAACAGAGAGGAAGAGAGCCGGAGACAAGCGTCAGCCATGCACATTAATTAGCCTGGTTCATTAGACACATGTCCATCAAAAGTGGCCCAGGAAGAGGGCCAGGCCTTGACGACTGCGCCGGCGGCAAGAGAAGCGAAGCTCGAACGGACCTCGGCTGCATCTTGTGTTGCCTGTTTTATGTAATTAAGCCAGGCGCTCACTATTTAAATTGCTGCTGGACGGAGCAGAGGGCCTGGAACTCTGGCCCCCATATCCATACGCGCCCCGGTGTATCACGAATTGGCAATTGAGGAGCCAACAGAATCAGTTTCAAGCTCAGGCTCAGGCTCTGGCCCAGGCCCAGGCCCAGGCCAGACCGAGTGCAATTTGGACGGGCCCAGCAGCCTTGGATGGTGAGACAGAGTCAGAGCCAGTGCCAGTGCCACAGCCAGATCCCGATCCCCAGCCAGCCTCCTCATCAAGATCCTCCAGCAGGCAGAGACGTTCGCTCGTCAGCGCTTGAGCCAATAATTATGGTTATTAATCGGCCTGAGAATTGGCTGCTAATTTGCAGTTTAGTTACAAATTCTGGCCGCCAGCGTGCAATTACCCGCTTAAATTATAGCCTCAAAATAAACAAAACACCGCAACGCCAAGGCAACGTGAGTCAGATCCTGTTCTACGTCCCCTATTGGGGGGGGGCCAGTCTCCATTCGAAAAGGTCACACCAGTCTCAACGCACATTGGCTTTTATGTGTGTTTGCTTATCGCGAGCCTTATCGGCGATTAGGCTGGGTCAATGCAGCACATCAGCTAATGATGCTACCCATCCGCCAGGCGTTGCACTGCCACAGCCCCAGCTGTGCCCCATTCCGATAGGGCTGCTCCTGCTGCTGCTCCTGCAACTCATAATTAGACGCCAGTTCTGGTTTTGGGGCGTTACTCAATCAAGACTTGATGGCACAACCCTCTATACAGAGCAGAGCAGAGCAACAGCATCATCATCATCATCAGAGGTAACTATCCTCCTGCGCCTGGCCCTGGACGCAGGCGCAGACGCAGGCGCAGACACAGACCGCAGACTGAGCCTGCGACTGAGACTGGTGCATGATCAGTGCAACTACAACATAATTTCCAGACGTCGACGCGTTGCTCTTCCAATTTCGGAGGCGCGCTGGCAACACTTTTGGGCCGCCAAATCAAATCGTGTGCTGTTTATTTAAATAACCATAATTTACCGCACCATCTGCCTCACTGCACTTCCCTCTAGCACTTGCTGTGGTACGGTTCAGTTCGGGTTCGGGTTCGGGGGCTATTTATTAACCCACACACTCAACCACAACCCAACAAAGCCGAAGAAAACTGAGTCCGTGGCTGGCTTTTATGGCCTGGCACATGATTTTCCAGGGCTGTGAGAACATAAAAATTCAATTTAATATGCTCAACAGATCATCCGCTTCCCAGATCTCCACATCCCACTCTTCTTAGTTCGGGATTTAACTGGAAAACGTTTTGTCTTTTGATCGTATAGAATGCTGGTTATGGAAGCATCCGATTTTATTGTGGGTGTTGGTAGTTTACCAGATCTGCGACAGTTTTTTTTATAATTATGGTTTAAAGGAATTGAGTCAAAACCAAAAGTCCATTTCTAATCACATGCTGGAACTGGCGCACCAAAATGGGTTCCCTGCCAAGGTGGTCAAGAAGAACTCAAGGATGGAAATTCGGGTGAACACTTTGCAGGGCGTCAGGGAGTTCGATCCGGCGGAGATCTCCACCAAGTCCTGGCCAAGGGGAAGGCGAAGGTAGAAGATTTCCTAGGCAAGAACGTCACCGTCGCTGTGGTCATTGTGCTGATTGGGGGACCACCCGCATCCCCAAGATCGAGCAGTAGGTCAAGGATTTCTTTAACGGCAAGAACGGTCCATGAGGCTAGATTGTTTACCAGGAGGAAACGACCCATGACAAAAGCGAGGGAGCTGTCACCGGCATGATCCACGACGACGAGAAGGATAAGAAGATCATGGATAACTTGATGGCCCGACATATGTATGCTGGAGGGTTCGGTCTATGACCTGATGAAGAAGAATGATGACATGAAACCTCAGATTAAAGAGGCAATTGAGAAGGCGATTTGGTTCATGCGGTGAAAATGGGACGATGTCAAAGATGCACTGTAAGGATATAATATCATTTCCATTGAAGGGTCTTTCCGTTCTAATTTTGTAATATTTATATGTCCAATAAAGTATAGTAGATATTTAAGCCCATCATATATTGATATCCAGCCAAGTGCCTGGACATAACACGCTCAATCCCATTATAAACAATTTATGATCCAACCACTGGGAACGTCGCAGAATGGCCAAGCAAATTGGCTTAGCCGCCGCGGCCGAAGATCGCTCAAGATCTTTTGCCTAAGTGGATGCCCCGCTGGATGATCGTCTGGTTTGGCTGGATCGTTTGGTTGGTGGGTTTGTTGCTGGACTCAGCACGTCAAGTTTAGAAAAATGAGCTTGTTAACGCTCCATGATGAGCCCAGTTAGTGTCTGCTGCCATGATCTAAACCATATAACCCGGAGCCAGATCGATTCGATCGTTCGGCTGGATCGATGCAGATGGAGATGGATGTGAATGTGGAGGCAATGCAGCCAACTCCGTCTCCGACACAGTCCAGGGCCCAGACTCATCATTAGGGCTTTGTGTAAAATTACAACACGATAACACGTAATCATTAGCGTGGCTCTGAGACAGCAGGGCACAGGAGGGTACGCCGGGACGCTGGGACGGTGTGAGCAAACAATTTGAGGAGCCACAAAGCAACACAGCCACAACACAAAGGAACGGAACACAGCCTCAATTTGCAGTTTCATTATCAAACGAGCCAAAGAACATAATTTGGCTAAGGCCAAACATTTGGCAACTGCAAACGACGTAGGCAAA